AGGAATAGATTAATTCAAATAATTCAATCTTGATTGTTTCCTAGATTAAAATAAAGGCATTAGAAGATGCAAGCGGAATATGGAATGACTGCGTATTGAAATATTTTTTTACTCGAAAAAATATTTTTATGTATTTTAAATGTGGTACCAGAAAGGCCAACCTTATGTGGGCCACAGATCAGTTTTGAACATCTGGGCCAAATACTACATTTGATATCTGGCCCATGTCTTGTCTGCCGCCTTCAAGACGGTGCCACCTCTGCCAAACCTGGGCCATGTTTGGCCCACATGCTGTATGCCAGTGCCGGATGAATGCCTGATGTGCCAGATTTGTGCCAAATCTGGGCCAGAATTCTTTGCTACCTGGGTAGTTACACTGTATTTCAATACTGGTCATTATGGTGGTACTTGGAGAGACATTTTTTTCTGAGGATGTACTTGATGAAAAAAGTTTGAGATCCACTGATCTAGAAGTACGCGTGGCCGCATTTCATTTTTTTTAACAAACGATACGGGCCATTCCTTTTCCCGATTACCAGCTGACCACTTACCTCCATATGGACGGCTTTCCGGCTGTTACCAGTTTGTTCAGTAGCTTGCCATGTATGTGTTGATGGACTTGAGATGCAGAGAGGAGATGACCACGACAACAGGGTTTGAGTCTGGTGAAGAACGGTTCCAGAAAGCAGGTAAGACATTAATTCATTCATTCATCTTCTGCCACTTTTCCGGGGCCGGGTCGCGGGGGCAGCAGTCTTAGGAGAGAACCCCAGACTTCCCTCTCTCCAGACACTTCCTCCAGCACCTCCAGGTGGATCCCGAGGCGTTCCCAGGCCAGCTGAGAGACATAGTCCCTCCAGCGTGTCCTGGGTCTTCCCCGAGGCTTCCTCCCGGTGGGACATGTCTGGAACACCTCCCTAGGTAGGCATCCAGGAGGCATCAGATGCCCGAGCCACCTCAGCTGACTTCTCTCGATGTGGAGGAGCAGCGACTCTACAGGTGTCAGAGCTCCTTCTTCACCACAACGGACCGGTACATCGACCGCAGGTAAATCTGTGCTTTTTAAAATACTATTGAGGTGTTTGAATTTACAGATTGTATCCTGATGCTTCAAGGAGTTTTAATATGAATTTGTTGAATTGATAACTTTACTTCTGCTTGATAATAATAATTTTTATTTATATAGCGCCTTTCCAGAGCTCAAGGACACTTTACAAGGAATGCGACAAAAAGATAAACAAACATACATGAAGTGAAATATAACACACTGGAATTACACAAACAAGACGTAGGAGACAAATGAGCAGAGTGGAGGTGGATCAGATTAAAGTAGTCAGTTTGGCAGATCAGAAGCGAAGCATTCAGAAAATAAGTGAGTCTTAAGTAAAGATTTGAATTCAGAGATAATATTAGCAGAGCGGAGTGAGTGTGGTGGAGAGTTCCAGAGTTTGGGTGCAATGACACTAAATGATCTGCCCCCCATTGAAGAGAGGCGGTACAGAGGGGCAGCGAGAAGGTCAGAATCAGCGGAACATAATGAACGAGTCGGGGTGTAGGGGACAAGCATGTTGCAGAGATAGGAGGGAGCTAGGCTGTTTAGGGATCTAAATGCAAGAATTTGAAATTTAATGCGATAAGCAACTGGGAGCCAATGGAGGTTGTACAAGATTGGGGTTATGTGAGCAGAATGTTCGGTGTGAGTGAGTATTCTAGCCGCAGAGTTTGAATATACTGTAATCTGGAGATGAGGCTGGCAGCAGACCAATAAAAAGAGCATTAGGCCGTACTAACACTATGTACAGTTGCCTCGAACCGGGCCAAAGCACGCTTGTCCCCCCTCCCGTCTCCCCCGACGGCCCACACTCACACCACAAACGGGCTTCGGTACGCTTACGTCATCGCTGCTGTGAGAAGCGCTCTCTCACTCAGCAGCACAGTGGAGATTTCTCTAGTTATATCGTTTCAGTTGTTTGATATGCCATAAAATATTTCGCCAAACAGTCCTTAGGGATGCGGAGACACGCAGTCAGATATTTCGCCGAACAGATCCGCCACTTTTGGCGCTCATAAACAATCATAAAGCTCTTGTGCTGCAGGAATGAGGAGGTCTGCTGAAGGCGCGCAGCTGTCATGCTGTGAGGAGTTCTCGTCTTTAATAAACTACGGCAGTTTGCGTTCACTGAACAGTAAGAATGATTAATAAATCCATATAAAACAGCCCCTTAAAAGTCACGTCTCGCTTTCAGTTTCGGGCTTTGCCGCGTTTTGCACTCACACACAAGCGTACCGCGCCAAAGCCCAAGTGAACCGTGCCTGAGCCCGATTCAGCGCACTCACACTTCTCAAATGATCCAGGAAACAGGCCTGGGCACGGTACGGATGGCAGAGTGTGAGTAGGCCCTTACAGTAGTCAATGCGTGAGGAGACAAATGCATTGATGACAGTCTCAGCATCCTTGCTGCTGATGAAGGGACGCAGTTGGGAAATGCGACTGTGGCGAGGGGGCGTGGCCGAGAGCCGTGGGAACGTGGTGAGGCCACCGCGTAAGTGGATACACGTGCGGTGCGCACCTGCCTCGGATCCCACGAAAGGAGCTCTGGACCATAAAAGGAGGACCGATGGCAGAGAAAGGCGAGAGAAGACCGGGCCCGGGCATATTGTTTTACTTTTGCTTTCAGTTTGACGGCAGTCTCCGTGAGGAGCTGCCGTCTGTTTGTTTTGGTTTAGATGGCAGTCTCCGTAAGGAGCTGCCGTCATTGTTATTAATAAATATTTTAAACCTGCGTCGGTTCTCCGCCTCCTTCTTCCCGGCGGCCAAAGGGCCGTAAACTTCATTACAGCGACGTAAATGAAAGAATGCAGATTTAGTGACAGATTTAATGTGAGACTGAAAAGAGAGTGTGGAGTCGAAGATTACACCTACATTTTTTACAGAAGTAGATGTTTTAATGTGCGAGCCAGCAATCTCACAGCAGAAACTGGTGGAAATATTGCTGGTAAGTGCTGGCGTGCCAATAAAAATCATCTCTGTTTTGTCCATGTGGAGTTTCAGGGAATTTGAGTGAGCCAATCATTAATATCCTTCACACAAGCGGAGATATTGTCAATTTGGGCGGATGAGGTAGGTGTACATACCGAGTAAAGTTGAATATCATCTGCATAAAGATGATAGTTTAGACCGTGACGTTGTAGACCAAGTGGGATTAGGTAAATTGTGAACAATAGTGGGCCTAGAAAAGAAAATATTTTATAGTTATAATAAGTTATAATAAATGTTATTACCAACCCGGGCTCATTGTGGAAACGTAGCCCCGCGGATGTTTCTGCCGACCGCGAGATACGTCCCGGGAGGTACGTATTCAAGCAGTTTTTGTTTTTGCGGATCCGCGGGAGCACACGCCGTCCGCGCCCGCGCTTTTCTCGTGCGAAAAGCCGCCGGATCGGCCGACCCGGCCACCCTCCTCTTCCTCCTCCTCCTCCTCCTTCACTAAACCCGAGCGACGTTTTGCAAAAGCTGTCCAGAAAAAAAAAAAAAAAGCAAAAGCCCTCGTCTTCGACTGCATTTTCGGATCCCGCTGCGTTCTCACCCTAATTTTTCGGATTCTGTTTTTCATCTTACCTGATTTCCGGAACCACTGTTCCCTGGACTCGATCCCGGTTGTCGTCCCCGCGGCCAGCTCCTCCTCCTCCTTTGGGGCCTCTGCTCCGCCGACGCAACGCTGTGAGCTTAGCGGACAAACTGTTTGCATCGCGAAAGCCCTCCACTCGGAGGAGAGCCGTCGGCCGGCGAGCACGAAGAGGAGGAGCGGAGCGGCGCCACACTGCCCTGCAGCGTTCGCTCGAAAAAAAAATAAACGCGGCTGTATGTACCTCCGGCCACGTAAATCGCGGTCTCCAGAAACGTCCGCGGGGCTACGTTTCCCGAATGAGCTTGGGTTGGTTATTACAGTTCATTTGTGCTGACATTAAAGAGAAAAATTAAAGAGAAATCCTGTCATTTTCTAAACTATTCAGTGGTTTTGATCAAGACTGAGGCTGATTAACAGATAATATTAATCTGAGGGATTTTTACAGCAGTTTAATTCAGCGGATGTTTTCTTGATGAACATAACAAAAGGGTGGTCAGTCTGAACAGTGCACAAGGGTTAAAAACGGCTTCATATTTCACCAGTTAATGGTGTGTTTTCACTTGTGCTCATTCTTAAACAGGTATACAGTATCAACAGAGGAATGCCATTAGGGTGTGTTGTTCATAAAGAGCAGCGTTCACTCCACCCTGCAGCCAGAGAAACAATGATGAACAAACGTGCCGCAGGAAACATCTAGAACCAGCGCAGTTAATACATTTAGAAAAATAAATAGGCTATTAGGGCGGAACGGTGGCTCAGTGGTCAGCACTGTGGCCTCCCAGCAAGGTCACTAGTTCGAGCCTCAGCTGGGCCAGTTGGCATATCTGTGTGGAGTTGGCATGTTCTCCACGTGTTGGTGTGGGTTTCCTCCGGGTGCTCTGGTTTCCCCCACAGTCCAAACACATGCACTATAAGTGAATTGATGAACTAAACGACTGCACTAAATGCCAGAATGGTTGACGGTTCATTCCGCTGTGGTGATCCCTGATAAATAAGGCACTAATGAATGAATTTGCTATTAATTACAGCATTTATTTTGTGTCATGGAGAGCTAATGTTCAGTAAGCAGGAGATAACGAGACTTTTATTTGTTTTTGGATTAAGCACTAGTGTTTTACCCCATTATTAACATGGTGAAAGTTCATTAATTTAGGTTTTTGATACTTGCATGTTTCCTAGAGATGGGTTGCGGCTGGAAGGGCATCCGCTGCGTAAAAACTTGATGGATAAGTTGGCAGTTCATTCCGCTGTGGCGACCCCGGATTAATAAAGGGACTAAGCCGACAAGAAAATGAATGAATAATTGCATGTGCTGTGTAACAACAAATATGATTCTGGTGTTGGAAATCTGAATCTCCAAACAGCAGGTTTCATTTATTCTTTAGTCTTCTGATGACTTTCAGTGCTAATAATTGAGTGGGCTTTGTTTACCAGCTGTTTCTCTCTCAGGATGGCTTTTATGGCACTGAATGTGCTGTGACGTCCTGAAATAGGACATGTTAGTATAAACTAGCCATTCTGGTTATTCTAGTCTCTCGTCAGCATCATCAAATGACTCATTAAAGGGCGTTTTAGCAGCAAAACACTCCAAGTTGTTCACTGACAGACATGCGATGGTGTTTATGTATGCGTTAGCTCTAGGCTAGCTGATCAGATAGAGCAGCAGAAGCCGCGACTGGAGGACATTTTAGATTCAGAACACAAATATTTAATTAAAGATCATTTCACACATCACAGTGCCTGATTAGAGACGAGACAAGAAGATGGGAGGTAAGAAAATACAGCTAATATCCTAAAACATGGGGTTTAACTGTTTTTATACTGTGACATTGAAGAATATGAAGCGTTCTTTATACTTAATTTTATTGACATACAAAGCTACAAAGTTGGTTTTATTCACCAACATTAAAACAAATACTATAGTCATTTATAGTAATGGTGTCTTTGAACCATACAGTAAAGCAAATTGGACTGTATATATAGTATTTATACCAAAAAATTGGTTTTTACTACAGTAAACAAGTGCATTGTGGTGCATACCCTACAGTATTGGGTCATTTGTTTATATTACTGTAGTTGTTGTGTTACCATAGCAACTATATAATTACGTCAGCAGATTCTTCACTGTAGTGAACTTAGCATACTAAAGTAATACTATAGTAATTTTATGTAACATGGTCCAAAACCTATATCACATATTAAATACACTATAGTACTTTTAATTACTATAGTATTTTTTTAGTGGTTATACAAAAATACTTGTGAGAATGCTTTATTCGGTAACACTTTACAATAACAGTACATGAATAATGATGTATTAATATGTAAACTAAATATTACTTTGTTATGAATTAATGATGAGTTAAGGTATGCACTAATTATGAATTAACTTTAACTACAACATGAGTCGCATGAGTTCATGTGTGAATAATGGCTACTTTAATTACTTGTTAGTTCATGATTGTTTGTTAATTAATGTATTAATTACCACATTCGTTTATGCTTAATTTAACCATGATGAACTCGTGATATGTTAATGTATAATTATGTTGTGACTTTACTTGGAGGGGCACATCATCATTAACCGATTCTTAACTACTCATAAACTCCTTATGCACGTCCAACTAGTGAGTTTACACTGAATAACAATAGTAAAGTGTTCTGTCAACATCAACATGAAGAGGAGTTCATAAGTAGTTAAGGATGAGTTATTGGTGATGTGCCCCTCCAAGTAAAGTCGTGACATAACTATACATTAACAGCTCATGAGTTCATGTTGGTTACATTTAGCCTAAACTTAAATGTTAATTAATACATTAATTAACAACATGTACTAACAAGTAATTAAGGTAGTCGTTATTTACACATGAACTCATGTGACTCATGTTGTACTTAAAGTTAATTCATGATTAGTGCATACCTTAACTCATCATTAATTCATAATAAAGTAATGTTTAGTTTACATATGAATACATCATTATTCATGTACTGTTATTGTAAAGTGTTACCCTTTATTCTTTATATCTCCCATATGGTCTAGCGGTTAGGATTCCTCATTTTCACCCAGGCGGCCTAAGGGTTTGACTCCCGGTATTGGAAGCAAAATTTTAACCTCTACATATATTCATATATTGTAACATATACACTTGTAATCATGCTTATTTATCTGCACACCACTGATTATTAATAGCAACCTGCACATATATTCATATATTGTAAATCTGTTCATAGCTAATCCAACCTGTATATAATGTTGCTAGTACATCCATCTGTAAATATCACCATCGTTTTTCTATAACTGCACTTTATTACTTATACCTGTATCCTACACTTGCTGATATTGCACTGCTGGTTAGACCTAAACTGCATTCCGTTGCCTTGTACTTGTACATGTGTAATGACGATAAAGTTATATCTAATCTAATCTATTTTTATTTGCAAACATTGAAAAATCATTGTGTGATGCTGTTGAGCCCCAAAGCTCTTTAAAATAGATATTTTTATCTTGTGCAAAAGGAATAATGCCAGATTTTGTTGAAGTTTTAAACCATTTTAATGCAACATTAACTCAGGTTGAGCATAATATAAGTCCGTAGACCACACTGTATATTACATAAACAGTAGCATTTAGTAGCAATGTCTAATTTTATAAAAATATGTCTCATTATTATTTATACATAATTATAAAATTATATATAATCTTTAAATAATATAATTAAATTTTTATTTTGACTTATGTCATTGCTGATATTGAGATAAAGCATGGATCCTTAAAAAAAATATTTAGCCTTTATTTGTGGAATAAAGGCTCATGCCCAACGAGACATTTATCTCTTCTGCTTATGACCAGTGTTGTTTGAGACATTTTTTGAGACTTTTTGTACATTCATGTTCAAATAAATTTTACTAGCGTTAAGCCGAGTAAATGTGCAAAATCACTCGCGGATGTTAGATGGTGCTTAATAAAAACAAAAATACCCCGGCCCACATGGTGGCGCTGCACACATTGATGAAGAAGTCACCATTATGCTTTTTTCTTTGGATTAATTGTGGAAACTTTTGCATCTATGTTTAACCTTCGATTAAAAAGCCATTAAAGAAAAATAGGAAAAGAATCAACATCCTCGAACACTATTGGATCCGCAATTCCTATTTGATTGGCTTGACTGTTTTGTGCATGAATGCCACAAGGCCATTATTTACTTTAACTTCATCAGTTTAAGGCTGGTAAATTAGGGGTGGGGGATGGTTACCATTGTGGCAGTAACAGAGGAAGTAGCCCAGGAGGGGACCAGAGGCAAGACAAGACATGGGCAGAACCAAGGATGTGTAGATTTAGGATGAGCCAGGTGCTGGAGCAGGAGATTATTGGGGGCCTAGGACACAGCCTGTTGAGGGAGGCAGAACCCATGAAGGAGTATTGGTTCACGGGACATTCAGGTTGGGGGGAGGGGGTGTGCAGGTGCAGGACATATAGAACCACAAAGCCAGGGTGATGCTAATGATCTGGAGGGCCAAGGTGTTCACTCGACCAACCGTGAGTTTCATTTGGTAGTGCTCATCCCTTTGCCCTAATCCCTTCAGAGGGTCCCGCTGAAGCACAAGTGTCAAACTCAGTTCCACGAGGGCCGCAGCTCTCTACAGTTTAGTTTCAACCCTAATTAAATACACTTGATTAAACTAATTCAGCCCTTGAGCCATGTCTGAAACCAACAGGTAAGTGTGTTGAAGTAGGGATGGAACTCTACAGGGCTGCGGCCGTCTAGGTACTTTGGATTCTAGGAGTTTGACATCCGTTGTGTGAAGGGATTAGAGTAAAGGGAAGAACTCATCCAAATTGAGCACAGTGTGTGAAAACAAACAACTTCCTTGTTCAAAGGATCATGATCAAACTCTTTGGTTTCAAATGGCACTTCAATATGATGGCCTTAATTTTCTCACTTCAAAGTGCCCACACTGGAAGAGAAGATATCCGTTTGGAAAGCACAGCAAGACAGCAACATGGATCAGGATGACCTCAGTAATTCCAGAGTGACAGAGGACTGAGGCAGAGCTTACAGAGGCTTGCAGGATGGAGTGGACGAGGTGTAGATTGAGGAGTGTAATAAAGAGGCATAGGAGGGGGCAATGAGTAACCAAGGTGTAGCTGGAGGGACAAGAGGGGCCGACAGAGCTGGTTGGATGATGGTGGAGATGAGGGAGTAGTAAGCCAAGGTGGAAGTGCAGGGTTGGAAGGCCATAGTGGAGTTACAGGAGCTAGCAATGGTACAGTTTGTTGACTGGCCGCAGGGATGGAAGGAACAGGTGGCAGAGAAGAGGGAGGGCTTGGTGGGTGGGGTGCTGCTTATGCCAGATAAGTCTTTGCTGGTGGGAAATAGCAGAGGCTCTGGAAAGTTTTGATTGGCTGTAACCAGCAGGAGTCTTTGCTGGACAAGACCAGTGGGAACATAGGGGATTTGCTACTGAGTAGAACCAGCAGTGGCTTATTCATGGTGACAATTCACTCCGTCACCCAGCATCCATTCCATGAAATCAGGAAAGGTCTCTCGAGGGCTCAGGAAGGCGGTGCAGGAAGATCTGATGGTCGATATGGAGAAAATCTTCTACATGCTCCTTGAGAGAGAAACTCTCCTGCTCCAAGCAGACAAAAATGGGCAAACAAATCAGGGGTACACAAATGTGCTGTTAACCGATTCAATCTTGTCTTCTGTCACAGCTGGTGATCTTTGGTTTTAACCAAACTGGTCCAATGGTAATTTACCATAGTTGTGTTTTAAAGAGAGCTCAGGGTATCCTATGCACCCCAGACCACTCTGTGTATCAGCTGCTGCCATCAGGACGTCGTTTTAAAGTTCCGATTTGCAGGACAAACAGAACTAGAAATTCTTTTATGATGGTGGCCATTAGGTCATTTAATAGGTCCAGGAGGAAGGGAGATGCACCTACAAAATGATGTATTGTATGCTGTGTGGTAATATTTTGTTAATGTGTACATGGAACTTCGCCTGTGTTACGGCACCTTGCTGCAGTTTTAGTTTCCCTAAATGGGATAATAAAGAGTCTGAGTCTGTCTGTCTGAGTCTTTGATGCTATACCAACTCGTAGATGTCAAAGAACAATAACATTTAAAACCTTTTATCACAAGGTATTAAACGTCAGTAATAATCATGTTCCATAAATGTCCCGATGTTTTATTCATGTCATTGACCTTTTTTGAATTTATTTAATAATTTTTAATGATTATCTCATATATTTAACTTCTATGGCACACAAGACATTTTTTTACAGTTCAAATTTGGGCAAAGATCTTCAGCTTTAGGGGACGGGTGGTAACAAAGGTGCAGGACATGTAGAACCGCAAATGGTGGTTCAACTGAGCAACCATGAGTTTTATTTGAAACTGCTCATCATATTTTACTTTGCATTTCTTTACTAACTTAATATCTTCATTTTACATGGATACAATCAATTTTACATAGTATAATCAACACCATTAATCCCAGTATTAACAATAGCATGTTTCTCAAACAGCATCCGAGTCTCTTCAAGAGAAAAGGATTGTTCTTCTTGGGAAAACTGGAGATGGCAAGAGCAGCGCGGGGAACACGATTCTCAAACAAGAGGTATTCAAGAGCAAAGCTTCACCTGAATCTGTGACAGTCGAATGTGTCAGCGGAGATCGAAAGATTGATGGAAAGAAGATCACAGTCATCGACACGCCTGGACTCTTTGACACTGCCGTCGATGAGGAGACCATTAAATCTGAGATCATTAGATCAGTGATCGAAAGCTCTCCAGGTCCAGACGTGTTCACCATCGTCCTGAAGGTTGGCAGATACACGGGACATGAGATGGAGATAGTGGATAAAATTGTGGAATATTGTGGAGAAGATACCTTTAATCACTCTGTGGTTTTGTTCACTCATGGAGAGCAGCTAGAAGGTCAAACCATCGAGGAGTTTGTGAAGATGAGTCCAAAACTTCAGGAGCTGGTTAATAAATGTGGCGGTCGCTGTCACGTCATCGACAGCAAGTACTGGAAGAAACGACAAATGGGATACAGAAGCAACAGAGTTCAGGTGAAGAAACTCCTGGAGACCATCGAGGAGAAGCTGAAGGACAACAAGAACAGCTGCTACACCAATGAGCTGCTCCAGATGGTGGAGGAGGAAATTCAAGAGGAGGTCAAGAACATGGATGAAGTCAGTTTGTCTCCTGAGGAAAAACGGGAGATTGCGAAAAAGATTGTGCATAAGAAACTTCTCATTCGACTTGCTGGAGTCGCTACAGGCACTCTGACTGGAGCCTTTCTGGGCATCGGAGTTGCTGTGGCATCTGTCGTTACTTTACTGAAAGCTGTAGGAACAATAGCAGGAGCCGCAGCAGCCGGAGCTTCAGGACTAGCAGGTGGAGCCTCAGGATTAGCAGCCGGAGCCTCGGGACTAGTGACTGGAGCTTCAGGACTCGCGGCTGGAGCTTCGGGATTAGCAGCGGGAACTGTGGCAGTGGAGGCAGGGCTGGTCACCGGTGCCAGTGCAGGCATTGGAGCAGGTCTTGGAGCGGCTGCTGGTTCAGGAATCACGGCAGGGATTGTTGTTGGAGCCGCAGCTCTTGCTGGAGCAATTGGTGGAGGAATTACTGGATGCAAAGCAGCGGATGAATCAGATTCTGTGTGTGACGCCATTAAAAATGCAGCAAAAATAAATTATGAGAATGCCAAAGGTGTGGTGAAGAAAGCCCAAAAACATCAACACAAACTTTTGAAAATCAAAAAGAATGATAAATTAGAATGATAACTTTTATTAAGCTATTACCACAGTTTCACAAACAAACATGCTTTAAATAAAATGAAGAACAAACTGAAATTATGTTAAAAACAGACAAACCTAAGTTTGCTTTGGCAGTTCAAAACTGCCCACCAAAGCGACCTTTTGGGGAGTTAGTTTTGGCTCCTAAACACATTTGAGCATTGGTTTGTTACAATTATACAGTCATTGGGTGTGTTCTGGAACAAAAACGAACACAACAAATAAACAACATGAATGCACTAGAGAGTTGAGAAGCAGAGCTGGTACAGATGTATCTGCAATTGTGCAATCGCTTGCTTCAAAGGCGTAGATTTAGGGTGGACGGAGGGGATGTGTCTCCATCAATATCCTCTGACCATTGAAATGTTCACACCAATAATTCAATCCACTTAAAAAAAATTAAATATTTAAATTGCGCTGTCAGCATTAACTTAGAGACGCAAAAAGAGTTAAATTACGTTCTCTCCTTAAGCCCTTCTGCCCCTAAAACACATTTGGACTTGACTTTTTGTTTTTAAAAGTATCGATATTTTAGCTATATTTTAATAATTTCTGCATAACTAAATGTTTTAGAGCTGTGTACAGTTATTAAGTTATTAAGTGAGAATTGAGAGTTATAGTCAGAATTCCGAGTTATAAAGTCTCAATTATGAGTTATTAAGTTAGAATTGCGAGATATGAAGTCAGAATTCCAAGTTATAAAGTTAGAATTTTGAGGTATTAAGTTGGAATTGCGAGTTATAAAGTCAGAATTCCGAATTATTAAGTCAGAATTCTGAGTTATAAAGTTAGAATTCAAAGTTACTAAGTTAGAATTGCGAGTTATGAAGTCAGAATTCCAAGTTATAAAGTTAGAATTTAGAGGTATCAAGTTAGAATTGTGTGTTATAAAGGCAGAATTCCAAATTATTAAGTCAGAATTCTGAGTTATAAAGTTAGAATTCAGAGTTATTAAGTTTCAATTGTAAGTTGTAAAGTCAGAATCCCGAGTTATTAAGTTATAATTCTGAGTTATTTAGTCAGAATTCCGAGTTAAGTTAGAATAGTGAGTTATAAATTCAGAATTCCATGTTATAAATGTAGAACTCCGAGTTATTAGGTCAGAATTCTGAGTTTATAGGTTAGAATTGTGAGTTATAGTCAGAATTCCGAGTTATTAGGTAAGAATTGTGAGTTGTAGTCAGAATTCCGAGTAATTAAGTCAGAATTCCGAGTTATAAAGTTAGAATTCCGAGTTATAGGGTCAGAATTCCGATTTATAAAGTTAGAATTCAGAATTTTTAAGTTAGAATTGTGAGTTGTAAAGTCAGAATTCCGAGTTTTAAAGTCAGAATTCCATGTTATTAAGTTAGAACTCCGAGTTATTAGGTCAGAATTCTGAGTTATTAGGTTAGAATTGTGAGTTATAAGCCCCTTTCACACATACAGACCTTTCCGGAAAATTGCCGGCAAATTGCAGTCCTTTTTGAAAATACCGGTAAATTTGTTCTGGCTATTTTCCGGAAAGAGAAGTTGTAACATTACCGGCAATTTGCCGGAATGCTGCGCTGTGTGAATGCAGAAGGAAGATTCCCGTAATAAGCGCGTGCACGTCTAGAACATGCTGACGTGAGACGTCTGCTTTAGCCAATCACAACAGTCAGACGCATTTACGTCCGCGCGGTTTGTGAGGATAAAAACCTTTGAATATTTTCCCAGACACATTTAGCTGCTAGAAGTTAGTCAGATCACGTTTATATGTTCTTCTTAATGCCAACTGTGTAAATAATCATTGATGAGATGCTTATGATAAGCCGTTGTTTGTTTACCTTCAAGCTTTCGTGTGCCTGTGAAACAGCCTGTGAGCGCCTGCACACGCACATATTATGAACATCTCGACATGCGAAAGTGATCCTGCGAAAGTTGTTCACAATATTGATCATCCACAGAGTCTGTAATTTAGTCAAATGTTTACAAATACAAGCGCAGCCGTTTAAAGCTCATTTGTGGTGAATGATGTCAGAATTTACCGGTATTTTGGAATGGATGTGTGAATGCTCTTTTCCGGAAAATTTCCGTAACGTCCTCGCCTGTGTGAACAGCGCTTTTTTGAATATACCGGTATAGTCGTTCCAGAAATTTTCCAGATATTTACCAGTATCACTGTGTGAAAGGGGCTAATGTCAGAATTCCGAGTTATAAAGTTAGAATTCCGAGTTATTAGGTCAGATTTCTGATTTATAAAGTTAGAATTCTGAGTTATTAAGTTTGAATTGCAAGTTATAAAGTCAGAATTCTGAGTAAGTCAGAATTCCGAGTTATTAGTTATAATTCCGAGTTATAAAGTCAGAATTTCGAGTTATAAAGTCAAAATTGAACTGCATGAAACTCTTTGAAATCAAAATAAAAACGGCGGTATTCCCCTTCCTTTTCAATTCAGGTGGCGTCGCCCCTCCTGTGCAAACCTCAAAACAGTTATATAGCAGTGCGTGACTGTCAGTTGATGCGCTCCATAGAGATAAATAGATGCTGTTTCCCAAACAAATTCTGTACATGTGATTTGAAGAGGAAAGAAAGTCTGGGTTTTGGGTGCGTGTTTGAATAGACATATTCACATAATTAATAATAATAATATCTAAAGACGTCGATCTTGGTGTTTTTTTTTTTTTCAAACACAAATAGTTTAGTCCTAAATGAGCACAAAAAGTTAGGAAAGCAGTGGGATGCTTTCATAATAACAATAAATGTGTGCACTTTTAAAGTGACACCTGTTATTTAAAGGGGTGGTCCAGAATGTTATTTTTAAGGCTTGGTTGTGTTAATAAGATGCAAAGCAATGTGTGCTCATGTTTAACTTGAAGGAAATCGTGTTATTTTTTCATAAATCTCACTTTGATTATACACAGCTACTCAGCTAACATGAAAACGACTGTCATATTTCCTAGTTTCTCTAAAAGGCCCACCCTCAAGTGACTCTGATTGGTCATCATCATAATATGCTGTGATTCGCCGATCGGCTCCACGTCACGCCCTGACAAGCACGCGCGTTTTGTGTAAACAGTCAGTCAGTCAGTCAGTCAACACGTGTCTGTAACGAGTGAAAATGGGATGCGGCTCCTTTAACTGTTTCTGTGCCTTTTAGTGTGTTTATGCGTGTATACGATGAAGTATCTGTAACACGAGAAGCGCATGTGCGCGGGAGAGATTTTTATTGTTCTTTTTCTCTCATGCTCGGATTAAGTTATTTTCTATGGTGACAGAATAAAGCACAAGATGTGAGATGAGACCTTTGTGAGCCTGGATTGATTTGTTTTTGATGTTACACTCCAGTTGGGAAATCATTGCTGTATTTTTTTTAAATCAACGCGTTACAGGACGTCTTTCATGCATATGCGGAATATGCCTGTGTAAGTAACATGAATCGTTCACATATCTTTTGCGACTTTATTGTCCGAGTTGTAAAACGCATAGCAAAGCTGCCTATAGAGAGAAACTCTGCCGTCTCCCACAGAGAGACGCAGGTGCTGGCCAAGAGTGCGTGTATGTGTATGTGTATGTGTGTGTGTGCGTTTACAGCCGTTTGATAAATATAGATTTGTAACGTTAGCTAAGTCGTTAGCGGTTACCATAATTTCCCGTTGTTTACATCTTTGCTACAACACACCGTTAAAGTTAGACACTGTACATGTCATGATCAATTTTAACAAATAAAAACACTTACAGGTCATGACTCAGAGTTCACAGCGTCTCCTTGCTCCATCTTTGAGGAGATTTTAACTGAATCCAGCACTGAACTGGGAGAGATTCTGGAAGCTGTGTTTTGTCAAATCATGCTTGCTATGTATTTTATAGTTCTCTGGAACATAATTAATATTGAACTGTAAGCACTTCTGTGTTTGGGTCGTGTCATTTGGAAGCCCAACAACAGAAACAGAACAGCTATGTGGAAACAGCAGGATGGCATTTCTCTCTCTGCAGTAACGTTACAGCGCCTCTGGCCACGGCCTTTACCTGCGCAGTGTGGGATGCGCAATAACGAACTTTTGTGATCTCACAGGGGGCGGAAGTATTTTTTGTAGTCCCCAAAATTCGTTAATTGTAGGCGTTGCTAAGCTAACTCTGTACAAATCAAGGTCTCCCTTTGCATTAAACTTTGAATATTTTACATTCAGAGATGCTGTTTATGTTCACACAGCTACATTACACATCAACTGAAGTTTAAAATATAATATCGTAGTGGACCACCCCTTTAATGTAATCACACGAAAAAATCTAAATAAATAAGAGATTCATTCGTTGCTCTTTAATCAGAATATGCAAGTTACACAGTGAAGAAACAGCTAATGAGATTTGATAGCATGATTCTATTTCATTACAATAGCTATTAATTTTAATAAGCTGAACTGTTTGCTAATTTATTTGCTGCTAATGTGTATATTTATTTTTTCTTCTGTGATTAATAATAATAATAATAATAAAACATTTTACTGTCCATTTAACTGTTTATTTATAATGAAACAGCTCCAAATGAACGTAATTTGGGGATTTTTGAGGGGCGAATCTCTTATTATAGTGGGCATATCCCTTATTTTCACATCCCAATGTTGGCAGGTATGGATAAACAATCAAAGGTAATGTGTTAATGTGCATGCGTCTTTTATAACAGCCTTCCATTGTTGTTGTCGCCAGTAACGAGGGTGAGCACTTATTTCACACGTGCAATCAGAGTCCATGCATGCTAAAGTTGATTTCAGGCAGAATGTCTTTATTTTGTGCAGGTGAATAAAACAAAGCCTCAAATCTTTGCTTCTCCTTTCTTCATTATCCTGTGCATACAACATTCGCTCCTTGTAAACACAACACGTATCTGAACACTGCAGTTTTCCCACACTAGCAAGCAAGTTACCCTTTAGCACGGTCAAAAACCGTGCGCTTTCCCATTCCTGACGCTTACACGGGCACCTTAGTTATACTTATCAGTCAGCGACACCTAGTGGACAACAAAAATCACTACAACACAAAAAAGTGGCTCCTACATCTTTAAATTCGTAAATTATTTCAAACAAAACAAATTCAAACTACAACATTCCAACAAAATTTTTACATTTTTTATGTTTCTGTTGATTTTCCCTGTTTAAAAAAATGTATTTAACATTTTCCCCAACATATTTATTTGCTGTTGAGTGTGTAGGTGCATATAGTGCATATTGTACCATTTAAGACGCAGCTATAATCTATATACTCTAAATATAATCTAAATAATAAGCATTTATCTAAATTATTTAAACTGAACCCAGATTAGTCAGATCAAATGATCTTCAACTTGCTGTTATGGAATCAATTTACGCGTGGATGTTTAGCTCGGCTCACTGAAGTCAGGCTTTTGACTTTAATCCCGCTTTTCTTAACCACTTTTATGAAACAGCCCCCAGCTGTTTCTCTCTCAGGGTGGGTTTCGGGGCTTTGATTGTTCTGGGATGTCCTGAAATAGGAGAGGTGAGTAAAAACTGGCCATTCTGGCTACTCCTGTCTCTCATCAGCAGCTTTAACTAACTCATTTAAGAGCGTTTTGTTCAGTGACAGACATGCGATGGTGTTTAAGTGTGCTGTAGCTCTACGCTAGCTGAACAGATAGAGCAGCAGAAGCCGCGACTGGAGGACATTTTAGATTCAAAATATTTAATTGAAGATCATTTTTATACATCACAGTGCCTGATTGAAGACAAGACAAGAAGATGGGAGGTAAGAAAATACCGCTAATATCCTAAAACATGGGGTTTAAATGTTTAATGTTGTTACACTGGAGTGTTTGAAGTGTTTTCATGTATACTTGATTTTATGTGCATACTTACAAAGCTACAAAGTGTGATTTATTCACCAACATTCACACAAATACTATAGTCATTTGTAAGTAATGGTGTTTTATAGAGGTAAAGTTGGTTTTATATTCACACATTCGTTCAGTTAGCAGTCTTTGTATTGTTTACAATGATACTTTGAATATTCATTCGGAATTAGCATGCATGACTTCTAAACAACCGTAACACTATCTAATTCAGTGTGAACAATGCTGTACTTTGATAG